CTACTACTACAGCAAAGCCTATCCTCATAAAGCCTGTGTATTTCAAATCTCAAGCCCCTTTGCCATGCCAAAGTACCAGTGTTAACGTAGGCAGCGCGTCATTTTTCGTCTTCATTAATTAACATTATAAAACAACTCTTTTTCATATCTCGTTTCGTTTGCATCTTCCGCTCCGCCTATAATCAAACTCAATTTTTTCATCATAGATTTAAAACGACCGCTGACGCAAGCAGCTGACCAACTGACGACTTAGTTAATGACGTCGGCAATGGTGCTAAACCATATGACCGCGATTACTAAAAACGAGGTCTATAAGCAATCCCTAGTGTGCATTATCCTTGGCCATAAGGGTAGTCATTTGACAGATCATTTGTTTAGATTGGAAAGCCGTGAAACAGACAAAAAGTTAATTGGACAAAAATAAAGAAAATGTCAAATTTTCCAAATTACGCGCAAAATAGGTACACACTCTTTGTTTATGTTCGAAAAATACACGCAAGCCAATTAAAATACACGCAAATCGTGTAATTACATGCTTATTGGCAACACTGCATTTACTGGGCTTTATCATTTTACATACCTACTCAACGAAATAAAAAATTAAAAGCAAAACAATACACGGCAACGCTGGATTTTAGTCTGGTCTGTTTCTGCAGAAATCACAAACCAGTCAGAGTAAATTTCATTGGTTGAAAACAGTCAGAAAACTATAGTTTTAACCAATGAAATTGACTCCTTTTTAGATCTCGTTTGCATCTTCCTCTTTGCCTATTATGTTAATCAAAATTAAATGATATTTATCATCATAAATTTTAAGGCGTATTTTAGCGAGAGTTTTAACCCAGTAGTTGTATTTACTTGGGATACTACATTTTAGCGATCATGGCTGACATACTATGACGTCATAACATAAAACACAACATAAAACTCGGCTGTAAACATGTAACCATCCTACGAGGGATAGTTACTGGTTGTAGTATGTCAATGTCAGTGCATCTTTTTCTAATACACGAAAATGAGCATATGGGCAAAACAGCTGACTACGATTACTGACACAGCTTTCCATTATAAATAGAGGATTGTTTTTCCCCATTTTGCCATGGTTTTCTGTGAATTTATCACAGGTTTTTTTTGTAATAAAAAATCTTCACTTGTGCAGAAAAGTATAATTTTTTTTTGGCATTCGGTCCCCATGAAATTCAAAAATACCACCATCCAACGAAAATATTCGAAAATCTTCACTGGAGAAATAATATTGAAACTTGAAAACGCGAAATTTTGTAAAATTCAACAAACCCAAATAAACAACAAATCATGGCGTCCTCTTTTAAACCTTTTGTCAAGTACACTCCACCTAGGGTTGCCACCTGTCCGGTTTTCACCCGGACTGTCTGGTTTTTTAAAGGTTATTTGTCCGGTGTCCGGACGCATGATGAAAATGTCCGGGAATATCTGGATAACTGTATAATTAATAATAATTAATACTAAATATAAAATTTATAGACGATTTCCGATCGCCTTAGGATATACCTAACTAATTTCTGAACGTACCTACTTCTTGAATGACGGGTGTGTCACGAACGTCTCCGATTTCCAGTTAGCGACAGAAAAGTGGACTTTCTGCCTAGGCTAACCATTCAACAAACGTTATCAGCGCAATTGATAAATATAAAAAAGTGGATTATGCGTGAATTTGTAAAAAATTCGGAGAAAAAATGATATGCTTCACACGGCAAAAGATCAGATTTAATGCCTTGGCTGGTTTCCTAGCTTCGCCTTCGGCTATGGAACATTAAATATTGTGCTTTTCTGCCTAATAAAACAAATAATTATGTATGTATTATGTCGTTCTCCCTGTTCACTTACAAGTGTCTCTATTTTTTTATTTTTTTTTATTTTAAAATAGACGTAACTATAAGGGGTGCCGTCTAAAATTAGGTAGGTACCTTTTTTAATTTTCGCCTAAAAACTCATTTCACAGATGAGTGTAAATTATGCCCCAAAAAAAAAGTTAGCTTCGATTATGTACAGGTTTTCGAAATTCAAAAGGTGGCAACCCTAACTCCACCTGTTATTTGGGTAACTATGACGTCATGAATCGTAGTCGCAGTCGGCCATCAACAACCGTCAACATAATTTTGAGGTTACATTTTACGTTATAATTCATCAGTTCATCCTAAATGAACCTCGATGAATTCGATCGCTAATCGTACTTTCACCGATAAGTGTAGGATGAGAATAAAAACAGACCGATGAAATCCATCGATGTTTTACTGATGAGAATAAAAACAGCCAATTGACATTTTCGCTTAATCGATGAGCACGTCGGTGAGAATATAAACGCACGTTATGTGTATATAGTATGATGTTCACTGGTCGCTAAAATACTAATACAATACGCCTTTAAATTCTAAACTAGTACCGCTAGCGCAAACAGCTGACAACGTAGTTAATGACGTCGGCAACGGTGATACACCAATATGGCCGCGATTACCAAAAACGAGGGCGATAAGCACTCCTTAGTAGTGTGTATTACCATGTATTACCTTTAGGCGGTTACACACGGACGTGGATGTCTGAAAACATGTACGCACATACATGAACGTGCAAACAAAAATATCAATGTGTATGCAAAATACCGTCGCGTTTTTGAATGTGCAATTCTGTATGCACACTCGGAACACTGTGCCAAGAATAGCAAGACTGCAGTTTTGTGCGAGCGTCTGTACAAAAGCGCCATGCACGTTGTTGCTTGCACGTTGATGTATGCACGTATATGTATCAAGACATCCACGTCCGTGTGTAACCGCCCCTTATGTTATACCTACCGATTTTGCGCAGTTATCTACCGATTTTCAACGCCAATTTCTCCCGATTTAGTATTTTGACGTTCGACAACACTGCCCCTCAATCCCTCTCATGCCCCCTCATTCGCCCCCAAAAAAAGACGGGAGATGGTATCTGCATTCATTTGAGAAAGATGGGAATAATTTTTGTCGCAAGCCACGATTATTTCTATACAGGTTAGGCATCTTGCTCTACTTCAGCGGTTCCCAAACTGGGGGGCGCGCCCCCCTGGGGGGGCGTGAAGCAACATTGAGGGGGGCGTAAGTCTTCTAAACAATTAATGCAAATTTTAAGCTTTAAAATAAAAAATCAGGTAAAATTTATAAAAAGATGTCTACAATCCTACAACAGCGCATACATAAGCCAAAGCAGCTTTGCCAGGCGATCTGTTACTGTATTCCTTTTACCTATTGAGTTACTCGGAGCTGCTTAGTGTCAAAATCGTGAACGTTCTTTTCAAAAGTGCGTGAAAGCACTCGAGTTGCTCATAGTGCATCCCCCTTTCCCCTAATGCACCAAATTTGCGGGGGGTGCAATAAGCTTTTTTAGGTAATGTTAATAATAAAGTATAATGATATTAGAAAGTTTTCGTGCCTCAGACGCTATGCTAATACGGTACCGCTAACAATACGGTATTTTCAATGCTATTTTATAGTTCTCGGACACGAAGTCACAAAAATCCTCTAATTCCTTATTCTGTTTACATTTTGACAGCTGAATTGAGTGATCTAACCCAACTTTTTTTTGCTTGTTTGCCAACTTTTATTTATCCTGAAGATTCCTGAGTTTCAATAATTTTTCCTTGGTGTTTTTTATCGAGGAATTATTAAAAGTTGCTGTTCCTACAGACGTAAATGGAGCGTAAACTAATTTTGACACAGAGCGTTACGGTAAGACATCCGCTAACTCCTGTTAGGTAGCGGGCGGCTCCGCTAACGCTAATACCGTAAGAACTGTCATACTTGTCAAATAACGTTACGGTATTTGAAATTTGGACAGCACGAAAACTCTCTAATATCTGAATTATTCTGAATTGTGTGTTTTGGAGTGACTCTGAGGAGCTCTAGAGCGACACGTGCGGTGTAACTTGATGTATAAAAGGAATACAGTAATTGCTACAGCGCACGCTCGCTGCCCACTGTCATGTCCATTCTTCCTCTTCCAAAGTCCAGTTCAGAGGAGTTACAGTAAGTAAAAAAAAAATGTTTTTTTATAATGGGGGAAGGAAGGGGGGCGCGACCACTTCTTGATTTCAGAAAAGGGGCGCAAAAGAAAACAGTTTGGGAACCACTGCTCTACTTCCTCAATCAACGATACTTAGTTTTGTTAGATTAATTAACACTTTAAATAGTATATTAAAGTATAAGTGGATATTAAGGTATTTAAAACATGCGCGATTTTTCGAGCACGACGGCGCAGCCGAGTGCTCGAAATAGAGCAAGTTTTTTAAAGACCAGTTACCCACGAATACTTTACACTATTTTTTGTTATTGGTATACGTTCAATCAAATAATAAATTACTGATAATTGTAGAATCCTTGATTCATGCTTGACACTTGTTATATTTTATTTGACGTTATCTACAAGTACCTACTCCTGACAAATCAATAATTAAAAAGTTGACATTTAAACCTTTCTCGGGTTGTTGGTTGTTGATGTTGTCATTGGTAACTTTAAAACACGCGCGTTTTTGAATGTTGGATTTAAACACGCTGAGGAGTACTTTAAATATTAGTGAAATAGGTTATCAAGGTTATCAATAAAAAAAATATATTTTTTGGATTTCGTTTACATCCTTCTATTTGCCCATTATGCTTATCAAAATTAAATAAATTTGTCATCATAAATTTGAATTTTAAAATACGACCGCTGGCGTAAACAGCTAACGTCGCTGACGACTTAGTTGACGTCGACATTGGTGATACACAAATATGGCGACAATTACCAAAAACAAAGCCGATAACACACACTGCACAACATTGCACGTTAATTTGTGCTAGCATCGATGTTCATTTCCCATCACTACACTAGTTTAGAATTTAGAACAGAGAAAACCACAGATTAAACACCCAAGTTAAGTCCTAACCTCAACTTTTTCAAATCTTCAACAACCAAAAAACCTAAAAAAAAAATACGTTAACCGAAAACAAATTATGGAAAATCGTTACGAGAAAATCGAATTCCTGGGCGAAGGCCAATTCGCCACCGTCTACAAAGCGAAAGACATCGAAACGGACAACATAGTGGCGGTAAAGAAAATCAAATTGGGCACCAGAGAAGAGGCACAAGACGGCATCAACCGAACCGCTCTCAGAGAAATCAAACTACTCCAGGAGCTTGACCACGAAAATCTTATTGGACTTTTAGACGTATTTGGACACATGTCCAACGTGTCTTTGGTGTTTGATTTCATGGACACAGATTTAGAAGTGATTATTAAAGATAATACCATTATTTTGACTACTGCTAATATAAAATCTTACACCTTACAAACTTTGAGAGGTTTAGAATATTTGCACTTGAATTGGATATTGCATAGAGACTTAAAACCTAATAATTTACTAGTTGATTCTAAGGGGGTGCTTAAGATTGGGGATTTTGGTTTAGCAAAAATGTATGGGTCACCTAATAGAATAAACACTCATCAAGTTGTTACTAGATGGTATAGGGCACCAGAGTTGCTTTTTGGTGCCAAACAATATGGAACTTGTATAGATATTTGGGCTGTAGGCTGTATTTTGGCTGAGTTGCTTTTAAGATTACCACTGTTTCCAGGTGAATCTGATTTGGATCAACTAACGAAAATATTTGGAGTATTTGGAAATCCTACAGAAGAAAATTGGCCAGGAATTAAAACATTGTCTGATTATATTGAATTTAAACCATTTCCAATTATTCCTTTAAAGTCTATTTTTACTGCAGCTGGAGATGATTTGTTAGAGGTTATTGAGAGTATGTTAACTCTGAATCCGGTTGCAAGGAAAAGCTGCAGTGAATGTTTAAAAATGCCTTTTTTTAGTAATAAGCCTGCTCCAACTGTTGGGAGTAAATTGCCTTTGCCCCAAAGCATAAGGAAAATTGCTGAAATTGAAAGGCCTTCTTTAAAAAGAAAGTTGTTGGAATCTGCTGAAGGAGGTACATTGTCTAAGAGATTATTTGTATAATATAATAATAAAACACAATATAAATGAAAAATAAAACAATTTTAATAGGCTACATTATATATTTAGTTTCCTTTTCTCCACTTTTCAGCTGTAGAAAATTCTGTCATTGGTTTGCCTCCTATACCACAAGTACCAATACCAACCCTACCATTGGCAGCTTCAGGCGAGGCAAATATACTCTTAGTATTAAGGCCAGTTTTTTTAGTTTTTACTGCCTTATTAGCAAAGGCTAGCCACTTGTTTTTATCCTGCTCCCTCTCCTCTTCAAGCTCCTTAAACCTTGCTTGCTTTTTCTGTTTTTTTTTTTTTAAATACTCCTTATTGACTTTGCCTTTTTTCATTTTTTCTGAGTCAGTGAGCACCCGCTTCTTGCCTGTAAACTCTTTTAGCTCAGACAACAAAGCAATTCCTCTGTTTTTATAAGTTTGAAATGTTACATTCACTTGGCCGTCAGGATTAATAACATCAATTCTTGCCTCATAATATTGTCCATTCTCACTCCATTTGGCGCTGCAAATGTCGCCCACTCTCCACATTTTCTTTGCTTTGTTTCTAGCGACAAATTGTTCCACTGCCAGTAAAGATCGTGTGACTTCATCTTCTTCTTCGACTATTGCTACAGGTTCGGTGTATTCTGGTAAATTGGCTGCTTCTTCTGCTTTGTTTTTCAAGTCTAAGCTTAAGTCTATGACTTCTTCGAGGTCTATTTTCAATTTTTTCAGTTCGTCGTTGTTGGGGTCCGATAATAGAGCAGCCTCGACTTGTTGCAATTGCAATTGGTAGTTTTGCAGTTCGTCACTCATTTTTTACACTTTGGAAGTTCTTAATAACTTAAAGTATACTTGGTTTCACAAAAATATATACCTAAAACCTTATTATAAATAGATATTTTATGGGTAATGCTGTTCTCAAAAAAGATTAGTTTTTAATGTAATTGTTTTGTTTTTGAATTATTTCAACTAAATTCCTCATATTGATCTTTTGACACTGACACTGACACGAGAAACTTGACACTGACAACTACAACGTCTCAAATTCGCTTGACAAATGACAAACACGTTCACATACGGTTATCGATACGATCTTAGTACGATATTTTCTCTAAAGCGCCATTTTTTTGAATATCGATATTATTATGAAAAAGTATCGATACGATAATTCGATTTTTTTATAATAACTGTTCATGGTCAGAGGTATTCTCTTGCGTCTCAAATGTTTAAAAACATTTTTCAAAACTGCTTTAGAACAGTATCATACATGACGTCATAACTTCTCGGAGCGAGCAAACGTGTATTTGATAATTAAATTCTATTTCCAAACGGTTTGAACCAGTATTGATGTGACGTCATGGGTTTATCGCGAGAATATACTGTTTCAAAATAATGAACGTTAGAAGACCCGGGACCCGGACCGAAACCATAGATTGAACCGAAAACCGGAACTGAACCTTTTTTTTTTTGCGGACCGGAACCGAAACCAAACCCATATTTAATAGAAATGTTGTAAAGCAAGCAGAACCGGAACCGATATAAATATCGGTTTTTAACGGTATTTTTGAGTTTCAAAATTTCATAAATTAGGCCATTTTATTGTTTCGTCATATCGTAGTAAATTTAACACTCTAAAAAACAGAGCAAAGGTACTACACATTACACACTATCACAGGATTGCTCATTAGCCCCGATTTTTGAAATCAAGTTCATATAGTATTGCACCATTGCCGACGTCATCAGCGATGTCACTAACGGTCATAGTTAAGAAGATACATTTATGATGAAAAATATTATTTAATTTACAAACAAGATCTAATATATACCTAAAGCCAAAGCCCGCGGAATGATAATTTGTAATGCAAACAACCTACGTCAAGAAGAGAAAGCACATGCTGCTACGTCACAACTGGTGATTTAGCGTGATGGGAGGCTTCAGATTTGTTTCTCACAGACCTTATGAAAATAAACTATCCTGTAATAGTATTATGTTGCCCTTGCAACACATCTCCGTTAAGTAAGGTAAGTGATGAAAAACACTACTATTTTTCCATCAATAAAGCCTAGTACTCATAACTGCGAAATTCACATTTTTTTGACATTGCGTTGACATTTTGACGTTTTATGCGTGTATCAAACGTCAAATTGTCGAAGCAATGTCAAAAAAATGCGAATTTCGCGGGCCGCAAAAAACGCAAGGATAATAAATACACACTACTACAAGATTGCTTATCGGGCTTGTTTTTGGTAATCACAGTCCTATAAGTATATATATAATATATATATATATATATATATATATATATATATATATATATATATATATATATATATATATATATATATATATATATATATATAATATATATATATATATATATATATATATATATATATATATATATATATATATATATATATATATATATATATATATACCGTAAGTATAGCACCATTAACTAAGTCGTCAGTTGTTTGCACCAGCAGTCGTAGTTTAAATATGAAAGCTGTTTTCTCGCGATAGAACTAGCTCAATTAGGTTCGAACTTTACTTTCTTGCATTGAACCAGTGACGTCACATTGAACTCTTAGCTTATTCTCTATTGACATAAGACTGTCTTCATTTCCTCGCATTCACCAGTGATATCGTCATTTACGAATTGTTTTAAACCATAATTTGAACCATTCGCTCCACAAAAAAACACCTTTTATTGATAGAATTTTATTTTAAAAATGACAAGTTACTTAACTAAAACCGAATTTTCGCAACGAACTATCTCTCTCTTTTCCTCCTCCTCCGTTGTTGTTGTTGAGAGAGATCTCTCTCTTTTCCTCCTCCTCCGTTGTTGTTGTTGAGAGAGAGAGCGAGCGTTCAAACACATGACGTCACAAGACGAACTATGCTTCGTCCTTGGATGAAATCATCGATTCTATTTATTGTTGCAGATGCCACATTACCAGATTTTGTAGGTTATGTTTTCAGAGGAGATTTCGTTCCAATAGACATTTACGAGGCTGTGCATTTACTCAAATTCTGTTTATTGTTGCCTTTAAAACACTAATTCTGGACCCAGTGTAGTTTTTATGTTCGAAACTAATCGGGCAACGTTAACAGTTACTCCATTTGATCTGAGATTCTCGTTTTAAGTGCACTAAATTTAACTATGTTTACTCGTACTACTGTTTTAGAGTAAATAGAGTAGGTTTATTCATTAAAAAGTTGTATTTATTTCCCTCCCTATACTCAAACATGAACATAATTACTTCTTTTGCCATATTTGGAGTGCTTTGAGTAAACAAATCGTTCAAGATTGTTTTTTTTTCACTCTTTTGAAGTAAATAGAGTGTGTTCGAATATTGAAGAGTATAAAAGCAAACGAGTTCGGAACAGGTTTTAGGGTTTAAGAACAAATAAAATCTAAATATTTGGAACTGTTTCTAGTTGCACCGCGAACAATGATCTGGAACACAAATTAAAAATTGCTCGATTGAATTACGAACAATCAATGTGCTCCAATACAATTCAGTTTAATTTATTTCGAATTCGGAACAACAATTGTAGCAGTCGGAACTCTAAAAATCAATTTTGAAATGATCTGGAACGGGTTCTAAATGAATTATTAATATGGTCCAGAATACTAATTCAGGATTTACGTGTACTGTATGCATTTAATAATGATTTTTTAGATCATAATTTTTTCTAGTTCAGAACAACAATCAAACTACTCGGAACTCTAAAAACCAGTTCAGAAATGCTCCGAAACCAATAAACTATAGTAAGTTTGATAGTTTTAGGACATTAATTGTGCACCGTATGCGTATAATAATAAACCCATGATTTTTTCTAGTTCAGAACAGCAATCGAATTACTCGGAACTCTGAGAACCAGTTCAAAAATTATATGAACCAGTTATCTAAATAAACTGCGAACGATTGAGTGGGGTAATTTGCGCGCACTGGGCACATCAACTCTCGATTTCTGAACGATTCCAGCGTAACGCTCCGAGTAAGCATTATGAACGGTTTAGAGTTACTCTAGGCCACTCTCACACCGACTACCGAGAGTGCTATTTCTAAACGCAACCCAGCGTTTTAGGGCTGGTATCTCCAAGGATGATACACACTACTACTGATAGCCTATCCTCATAGGGCCTGTGTGGAACAAATGTGGAGCAAACACGTTGACGTACTAGAAAAGGTCTTATTGATATAGATTGTTATCAATACAGCATGCTTCCAAAAGCGCTACTTTTTTGAATATTGATATTATTATGAAGAAGTATCGATAAGATAATTCTAATTTTTTTATGATGACTGCCTTGATTTACAAAGGCTAAGTTCGGCTTTACTGTAAACTCTGAGCGCGCTCGAAACGATAAGATCCTGTTCGTTTTATTCGTTTTAGCTCTCAGAGTGTTTTCTTTTACGTTGGGCTTATGACCGCGTATGACTTCACGATAATTATGCTCATACCGTGCCGCTCCGTGGAGTGCAAAGCCGAACTCAACCAAACAGAAACCCATTCTTGTAGTTTTGGTCCAATGAAATTGTATTATTTTTTTATCAATAATCACATTGACCAGCATTCAACATGTTGAGTGATTAGTCAACGGCCTTGTTGAAAACAGATGAAAATTAACTCTAGGCCAATCAAAACTGTTCTACCTTGTGTATTCCACTTGGAACAAAGCCGCATACTAATCACGTAACGATATGAATGTAGACTGGTAAGCAGACAAGGATGATGCATAGTACTATTACAGGATAGCTTATCTTCATAGGGCCTGTATAGAACAAATTCCTCCTTTCCCCTCCGAGCCAAATCACCGCAGTTGTGACATACGTAGCATGTTATTTCTCGCGTTGATGTAGACTGTTTAAACAACTGACGTCGGAAATGGTGACAGCATTATAACGACGATTAACAAAAACAAGGCCGATAAGCAATCCTGTAAGTGTGTATCATCCTTGGTACCCGACCTGGACCGGAACAATATTGAATCGAAGCTGTTTGCTATATTAGCTCAGCTTGTACACTCCGTGCACTCTAAGTGACTCCGTTCGCACTCCAGCAGTTGTCTGATTCGTTAAAAGGCAATACCCGAACTGGAGTGCGAACGGAGTCACTCGGAGTGTGCAAGCCGAACTCAGTTTTGGTTGTAATTAATTTAAAACTCTAAAGGCGGGTCCTCATGTGCGCAATTTTACGCCAACGTATCGGCGTTCAGTGATCTGATTGGTTTTCGTCAAGCACGTAATATACGCGTCGCCATGTTTGCAAGATATGCCGAAAAATTGGTACCGATTCAACTTTTTCGCATAATTTTAACGTAAGCGTGACACTCTGGTATAGCAGTAGTTTGTTCGTTTTTTTATGGTAAACTCGTGTTGCTTTAGGACGTGTACGCTACAATTACGCACATGAGGACCCGCCCTAGAGCGTTGGAGTTGAAAAGCGCGCATTTCAGAACTCGACTAGGCTAAAACAAGGATATTACACACTACTACATTATCGTCACATTACCTATTAAATTTTCCAAAGCAAGGTCGATACAATATTGCTGACAAATTTTGCGACAGGATTACTCATCGAACTTGATTTTTGAAATCAAGTTCATATGGTGTAACACCGCTGCCGACGTCATCAACGGTGTCGTTTGGGCCAGCAGTATAGTTAAGAATGGGCATCTTCCAAATTTCACCGATAAATTAACTGGTTGAATAGCCGGTAGCTGTCAAAAAATTCCGGTAAAAGTTAGGTGCGGTTACAAGATTTTTCTGATGAGTTTTGGAATGCTTTGAGCCAATTTTCA